CGCTGTTTCATCTTATGTAGACTAGTTTTTTTAAATCAAAATAAAGATATTTATTTCATGCAATATTTTTATAGATTTATCTTTAAATATCGATAGATAAAAGATTAGATACATGATTTTAAAAAATTTTTTTTGTTTTTTTGGAGTTCTATACTGTTTTTGTTATTAATTTTATTAAAATTTTTTATCTACTTTTTTTTATTTTTCAAAATGTATTAAAATATTTGAAATATTTCCATATATTATTTAATTTTTATATTAAGTTAAAAAGCTTATATTATTATAAACTTATGATAATTTTGTATTTTTTTTGTCCTAACAAAATAGTGAAAATGAAATAATAAAACTTTATATGTTTAAAATATGAAATGATAGTTAAAATTTTAATTAAGAAAATTATAATATTTTTAGATAGATTTTCTAAATCGATATAAAAACATCTATTTAATATTTTTTTACATTCATAGAATTTATTTTTTGAATTAAAAAAATTGTTTAAAGTAGAAATTAATTGAAGATTAAATTTAAAAATAAAAATAATTAAGTTATTAGGTTTGAAATATTAGTTATCTATATCGAGTTGATCTTTGTAATTATTAAATTTATATTTTATTAATTTATTAAATTAATAAAGAATTAAAAGTAAATTATAAATTTTATTTGAATATTTTTATTATCTTTATATTTTTAACCTTATATTTTCTTTTAAAAATCTGTGAGCTTAAAAAAGTATAGAAAAACAATCAAATATTCTAATAATAAAATATTTTAAATATTGTATTATTTAAGGTTATTATTTGAGGCTTCCTATTTAATAATAATAAACCAGATCGAATAAAAATATTTTTTTAAGCTTTTAATAGCAATGCAGTTAATTCATTCAGCAGTCAAAACATATAAAGGTAATATAAGAAATAGTAATATTGAAAAAAAGATAATATAATTTCATAAATTATAAATATAAAAATTAATATTCGCTGATATTGAATAAGATGATCGAATAATATGAATGATTTTATTATTCTTAAAAAAGTTTTGCTTTATTTACAATATTTACTTAATATTAAAAATAAATCATAATAAGACATAAAAGAGATCTAATTTTAGTTCTTTTTTCTAGTAACTGCTCGAAGTTTTGATACTAACCAGCGATTCGTTGGAATAAAATTTCCACCTCCTTTGGCCCGTGTCTTGCAGTCAAATATTCCCTGACCTTGATCAGCGCCCATTTATACCCTTTCTTTGAATGGTTCTTCTTCTCATCACCATGGATCTTGAGCTGTATAGCCATGTTGGTCAGATGCACTCTGCTATCATCGATATTATCCAGGTCGAATAATTCGCTCGATAATCGTGCGAAACCCTCTCTGGCCAGCCATGCTTTCAAGGGATGAAACGAGGTCACCAGAGTGTAAATACGTAAATCGAATTTCCTCCCTGAAACATAGAAACGTTTACAAATGCTCGGTTCTATTCGACATTGGAAAAACGGCTTCTGCTCTCTATGGCTTGTAAGGCCATCAAAGAAAGTGCTTTTGAACGGTTCTACATTCAAGTATTCTCCTTTCGGCGACGCCATTTGACACAAAGGATTTCAGCTTTCAGCTATCCATCCCTTTCGAAGGTAGCAAGGCATCCTTGACAACACAGCCATTCTTCGATGGCGATAAGCGAAACGAGGAGAGTTGATGTCTGAGGCACGAACCTGCCAGGAGGTAAGGATTCTCCACGTATTTTTGCACGATGAAAGTCTCAATTGGGGACAATTCGATCTGTGAACTACCGAATTCCTTGCTGCGCCACTCGGATAAATCCTTTAACTTCCTGAATAGGAAGATACCTGTTAACGTGGGGATGTAGGTATATTTTGAGGTTTTTTTGTTTGTTTTAATGATATTTTTGTTGTTTGATTGTGAATTGGTTACTCGAAGTTATTGATAGATTAGTGGACGATAATTAGATCATTCAAAGACGATCATATTGATTAGTCAATTCATTAAAGTGCATATACGTATATATATATTTGATCGTAGAGACAAATGAAGTGCATTAAATTAAATGCATTTATTCACATGATAAGCAACTTTCTTATAAACTTTGCTGTTCCTTATACAAACAATAATCATAAGCTTTAATATATTTATTATATTAAAAACTTGTTAAATGATTTAACTGACATTCTTGAAATTGAAGAATTTATTTTCATATTTTCTAACATCTTCAAGAAATTTTGTGAACATTTTGTGAAACGTTTTTAATAAGACATTCAATATTTTTTTTTTTTTAAATAACTTTATAATTATAATAGTTTCTTTGATATTTATTTTATTTGAGAATTCGATACTCACAACTTTCAAGTTTTCGATTCGTATTTTGTTAATATAATTTTTTATTATCGAACGAGCTAGTCGTCGACAGTATCATATTATAATCATAGTCAATAATGTCATAATGTGCGAATTAAAAATTAAGATTATGAAAATGCACTTAAGGAAAGATATTATTATGTTATTATTATAATATTATATTATTATATTATTATAATAAGTTATGGCATAAGTTCTGTCCTAAAATATATCTTTTAATATGTATATACTTTAAATCACAAATTCTTAAATCTAAAAACTGTGAAAATATTGATCTATAAAGTGTTTTGTGAACTGTGGACATCTAATTAAAGAAATAATTCCACATATAATAATAAATCGAAAAAAAAAATTTTTTTTTTGAGATTTCGTTTTCGAATATACGTAAAATTGGCTAATTTATTAGATATGAAAGAGATTATTCTAAATAAGTAAAAATAAGTAAAAAAATATAGAATAAAATTTTATTGTATAATTTAATTGTATAATAAATTTGATTTTCATAAATATATAGAATTACCTTTTATTTATGGATCATTTGTATCCAATTAGAAATTAGCCAATTTTGAATTCAATTTACTGAGAATGAAATTTCAAATAAAAAACTTTATCTTTATTGTTTTATTGATTTATTATTGCATGTAGAATTTTCAATTCATATTAAGCAAATTGAATATTTTACTTCATTATGATGATGTCAAAGTTATCCATATTAAACTAATTTATAAATTATCGTTTTAACATATTTAAATACAATATTGTTGAAATTGCATTTATAAAATATTAATATATATATATTTGTGGAATACTTTTGGAAGATTGATTCTAGAGGTCAAAATAAATATAAATATTAATTATAAAAATTATAAATATATAAAAATATCGGTTGAATTTAACAAATAAGGTTTGTATTAGATGAATCAAAACAAGCATCATTATTTTATATTTTTAAAATTATTTTATATAAATAAAAAAATGATATTAGTTAAATTTATTATAAAATATAATTTATAATAAAAATTGTATCAAATTTAAAGAACGCAGTGAATATATAAGATATAACATATACAATATTCAATGTTTTATTTTAGTTTCAATATTGTATAATTTCACGTATTAAACATGTAAATGTAAACACTTTTTGGATTTATTCAAAATAATTTTTTATTTGTATTTCTTGCTACATTTTTTTAGCTATATATATTACTAACGGCTGTAGTAAGTCATAAAAAATTTTTTAAATGTGAAATTAATCTCTTTTGTTTTATTATTTTTATTTAGCAAAGCTTTTATAAAATAAAATAAAACCATCAAACTATTAGTTTTATTTAACAATATAATATCATATTAATAAAATTTATATAGAATAAAAAATATGATAAATATTATTTAATGTTCTAATACTATTATATATGGTTGTAAAAATGTAATATATATTTAATATTTATTATTATTTATTATTATTATTATTATATTATATTTATTATTATTATATTTATTATTATTATATTTATTATTATTATTATTTATTGTTATTATTATGAAGAAATTTTTTATAATATATTTATATATAACATATTTATATTTTGTTCATCAATATTAAAAAATTAATCTGTTCCTGCAATAGAAAAGTTATTTTTATTCTTATATATATTTTATAAATTATATTTAATTTAAAATTTTTATTTTCTAAAAAATGTGAGAACATTTTTTAAAAAGTTCCACAATCCATATTATAAATAGAATATCTTTTCTATTTTTCACAAAAATGTAAAAGATACCTCTACCCTGTGATCTTCCTGCAGGTTTCACAATCCATGTAGAACCAGGTTGTTTATGATATTCTTCCGTAAACAATCTATAATCGTTTGGCAATTCAAAAGTCAATGGCATACTGTCGCACATTTGAGCCTCTTCGATCTTCTTCGATTTCATTAACAATTTCTTGTATCTCTTCATGTTTCTGTAAAGATAATTCTTCCGCGTCAATTCATAATGATTGCGGAAATGAGGTATCTTTTGATGGGCAGTCAACTTCATGTCCAAAGCCTGACGAACATCGTTGATCTCACACCACCAGAGATGCCAGTTCTGGTCGATGGGGTCTGTTACCTTGAAAAGAGGTTTTGAGAATTCGCGTGGGAGGACTTGTCGTATGACGTATTAGTGTCAGGAAATATAATTTATTCATGGATATGATTAAAGCAATTATGGTGAATAATAAATTATTTCCTGCTTCTGGAAATGGTAACGTGATGAGAGACTTTTTGAATAACTTTTCGAATATTTTATACCGATCTGTGTAATTTGAATGAATCAAAAATTTTCTCCTAAAAATTTTCTCCTTATTCTGTAATTAATCGAATATATTCACGAATGACTCGTATTATTATAATTAATTTATTATTTTTTTTTTTTTTTGATTTTCATTTATTGAATCGTTCATTCAAATATAGTCCTCGATTTGTTTTATTCATTTGATGCTAAATTAACAATTTAGTTATTTATTTATATTTATATAATTATATCCAATTTATTTAAATTAAATTTAAATTTAAATTAAACTTTTCTAATAAAATAATGATATATTATAAAATATAAAAATAATAATAATTAAAAAGTACATTTGATGAATATGTGTAATAAACATAAATACAAATATTTTTATAAACATTTTTTCTATTCTATTTTTTAACCAAAAACTAATTATCTTTATTTAAATTATCTTTCGCACTTCTGTAAAATTTCACAAAATAAATCGTA